GTGTGTGTGTGTGTGTGTGTGTGTGTGTGTGTGTGTGTGTGTGAGTGTGGGGGGCAGTGCGGTTTCTCTCGGCAGGGTTTCAGCTCTTGTTCCGTTGGTTTTGCTCCTCAGGAAAAGGAGATGGAGAAACAGAGACTTCTGTACCAGCAGTCCCGTCTGCACAACCGAGGGGCTGCAGAGATGGTGCTGCAGATGATCAGCGCCTGCAAAGGTAGCTGCTAACATACACTCACCTTCAAAGAAACTGTTGAGCCACAACTCATACACATCTGTGATGATTAGGCTTTGCTGTTGTTGGTCTGCTCTAAGCTTCAGGATGACTGTTTATTGATTTCTATTTCCATCAGAACACAGATTATACGGAGGCGTCAGCTGATAGGATTATATCTCTACACTTTTATTCCACTTTAAAGCTTTCCTTTTTGAGGAGTCTTAGTCAATATCTAATATTTTACAGATGTGTGGATATTCWCTGAATTTGCTTCATGCTTTATCAAAACACACTTTGAAACTTTAAGACAAATCTTGACTCATGTTTTAAAGGTATAAACTGTTGCAAATGTCTKTGTCTGCTGACTCCAGGTGAACCAGGAGTCATGGTGTCCTCCACWCTCAAACTGGGAATCTCCATCCTCAACGGAGGCAACAGTGACGTCCAGCAGGTAAAACCAACCTGACGGGGTAAAAACACCTCACCTGTYCTGCAGGTGGTTTTGAAGACTTCATCTGTGTCTCTGGTTGTTTGTGTGCAGAAAATGCTGGACTACCTGAAGGACAAAAAGGACGTGGGGTTCTTCCTCAGCGTTCAGGCTCTGATGCAGACCTGCAGGTCTGTCATCATTTACAGAAGCTTTTCAAAAGAGCATCCATGAAAGAAAACCAGACTAGTTATAACTCTTTACATAATTCAATGAACATTTATTTCAACTGTAAAACAAATACGTATCCACCATCTTGAATTATATCTGACAGTCATCCCTTTTAAATCCAACCAAAAGACAGACAGGAGAATGTAGAAATTACTTTTCCTGCAACTGAAATGATGATGATGGACAACAGAGCTGCTTCATGGAAGAACCTGTTAGCTTTTGTGTTGGCACTTGAGTTAGCCTGGTAAAAACCAGACCCTGTCCTTCACTTTGCTTCATACGAGGGTCCGGACTCTCAGCTACAGAGAAGTGATTCTTCCTGGAGGCGTGGCCTCTGCTGCAGTTTAAAATGATTGGCTCAGTTGGCTGCGACATATGTCGC